AATCTACCCATACGATTCCCTTCTATGAATACATTTTTGAAGCTCTACGACCTTTCCTAAGGCCTTTTCCAGCAAAAAAGGTGCCTAAATGTCCAGGTGCGCAAAAAAAGGTCGCATTTGTCCCACCCCCGTCATTTCATTCATCCAAAGTACTTTATCATCCAAAAAACGTTTTAACAGCTGTCAAAAAAATTATAGACGTAATTTAAATTTAACGATTTATTCTATCGATAATTGTTAGTTCTTTCTCATTTTTTTTTGCTTATTAGTTATGTTTATAAATGTTTTTTTCATTTTCAGATATGCCACTTGGAAAACAACTGGATGTGGTGGAAAAAACGCATGCTATGCTCCACACGATGTGCTCCACACGATGTGCTCCACACGCATGGCCACTCAAACAGGGACATTGCTCGTCGCATCGGACGTTCTGAGAAGTGTATTCGCACGTATCTCAAGACCAAAGTGACTCCTAAGAAGAAAGAAACACGGGACCGGAAGAAAAAGTTGTCCGATCAAGACGAACGCGCAATTACGAGACGTCTTTCCAACTCGAAGAGGTTCGCAAGGAGATGAAGCTTTCGATCACTCGCCAAATTGTGCACGACGTTATCAAACGATCTTCAATACAAATATACTCAAATACAAACTCATGAAGCAAGCTCCACGACTTACAAAGGGCCATAAAGCCGCCCGTATCGATTTCGCTCAAAAGAACCAGAAGACCAAATGGGAAGGAGTTGGTTTACTAGTATTTCTTATATATTTTTTGTTTAGATCATTTGGAGTGACGAAAAGAAGTTCAACCTTGATGGTGCTGATGGTTTTCGAGGATATTGGATGGATTTACGAAAGCCGGACATGGCTTTCAGCACGAGGAACTTTGGAGGTGGATCATGTATGGTATGGGGAGCCTTTCGAGACGGTGAGCTGGTCGGCTTAGAGTTTATTTTGACCCGGATGACATCGCTTGACTGCAAGTGTTGGACAAACATCTAGCCGTCTATCTGAACAACAATCCGGGCAATAACTTTACTTTTATGCACGATAACGCGAGTATTCATGCAAGTTGCTTCGCAAGAGATTGGTTGACAAAATCGAAAATCGACACTCTCACTTGGCGCGCTTGCAGCCCCGATTTGAATGTGGGGGACAGCTGTTTGAAAATGTGTGGGGACAGTTGTTCGAGATGTCTACAACGAAAACAAGCAATATTTGAGCGTAACTGAACTCAAGAAAGCCATTCAAGTAGCCTGGAACCGGCTTCAGCCAACAGCGCTCCATGACCTTGTCTCTTCGATCTCTTATCTAATAGAAATCTAAAAGCTGGCAAAGTCACCGTGATCGGTTTCTTGTTATAAATAAACCCAGTTTCCGAGTTAAACGAGTTTAATTTAATCAATCTATTCTTTTTCGTTGTATTTGAATAACAGTTTTACTGTGAGTCTATAAAACGTTTTATTAAACTTTATTAAACAATAAAAGAATAAATTCCTTTACGTAGCTATCATGTCTTTCCTTTTCTTCTCGTCCCTTTCGATTTCGTCACTGAGCTCTTTCAACTTTTGCCCAAATGACCTCAAATTCTGAAGGTATTCCGTGGAGATTTTCTCGAAACTTTCCCCGAATCGTTCACATTGCTCGTCTCCTCTCCGCCAATCGTCTCCTCGAAAATTCTTCAACTCGTCCACTTTTTCCATCATTTTAAACGCGATATCCCTGAGTTTAGCTTGAATTTCTTTGTTCAGTTCGGGGAAATGATTCTCGTACTTTAGAATCTGTTTTTCTATATTCTTTCGTCGTTCCTCTGTGGCCAACTCGAGTTTTCTCGTTTCCAAAACGTCTTTTTGTTGTCTGAGCAAAGTAGAGACTTCTTTGGCAAATTTTGAAACCAATAAATCACCTCGATACGAGATTAGCACCACTTTCTTTGAGCATAATGGACAATCGACAAATTCGTTTGTTGCCTCGATGTTTTCCAGGGTTCCCCTCATTTTGCAACACTTTGAACAAACCGTGTGCTTACAAGGGATCAGAATTGGAATGTGATCATCCGAATAGTCCTCTTTACAGATTGGACACTTTGGAACAGAAATCGGATCGGTTAACAGATCTTTGGCTTGATAGCCATCGGGAGACAGCTCGAGCGATTCGCTTTTTAGAATTTCCAATGAGGTCAACGAGTATTGGAATTTCGTCGGATGCAACCAGCAGCCCATGCAACGCATTCGTGAGCCGATGTAGGCTGAAAAGTTGATTTTGAGAAGTTTCTTTGATTTTATTTAGCTATTTTTCAGTCAAGTTTGCTTAAAAATGAGTGAAATGAAATGTTAGATTGAGGAAAAAATAATGCGCGTCTTGATTTTCGGGCACAAACATGGGATTTGCTTTGGCGATGTCATCAAGGAGCTTTTGTTGAACGTTTGTTGTTTGTTGCTTGTTTGTTTATTGTTTGTTTGTTGTTGATCAGAAGGCAATCGACAACCATTTGCATCAACTCGGGGGAAAAATTCGCTGTGGAAAATGGATCCCGAATTGAATTGAAATGAGCTTCTCAAGACAAAACAACTCGCGTCAACGTCAGTTCTTTTTCTCTATAAATTCTGGTGGCTTTTGGGATTAGATTTTGCCTTTGATGATGATTTTGATGAAACTTGGATCAATTACGAGAATTTCAAAAGGAAAAACCAATGAAATCTATCAAAATCATAAACATATGGTGGAATTGAATTGGTGCATTGTGAAGAGGTAAAATCGAGACAAACAGTCGACGCAGACGTTTACTCGAAACTCGAAAATAGTGAGAGTTAACGAGAGTTAACAGTTTTTCTTTAAAAAAAGATTGGAAGAAGTCGTTGATAAAAATGGAGAATACTTTTACTGATTGATCGTTTCGATTTCTTGTAGAATCCAATGAATTGGTTACACCCAAAAAAAACGCACATTATTTTTCCTCGGCTAATCTTTTTTATTGCTTTAGAGACGCTAATGCTTTTTTAGTGGAAGCCACACGTTTCAGCTAATTATTCATTTATAAATGTAAAATTTCGGAAAACGGAAAACGGACAAGAATTTCCGATTAAACTAATAGCTTTGGTTTAGAGAGATAGGGAACCAAATTTAGAGAGATAGGGGGCCAAATTTAGAGAGATAAGGAGGGAACCAAATTTAGAGGGATAAGGAACCAAATTTAGAGAGATAAGGAGGGAACCAAATTAAGAGGGATAAGGAACCAAATTTAGAGGGATAGGGAACCAAATTTAGAGAGGAACCAAATTTAGAGATCAGGCATGAAATTTAAACTAATAGCTTTGGTTTTAGCTTTTTAGCTTTTTTCTGAGATTTTAACCTGGAAAATTCGCTGAGCTCTGATCGGGAGAAAAGGGTGCATCACAGGTAGGGCATCGTAGTGAAGAGAACTCGAAATTGGACATTTCGAAATCGAATTGAAATCGAATTGAAATCGAATTGAAGTCGAATTGAAATGTATAAGACGATCGAATAGTAAATGTGTAAAAGCAAGGCGTTCCAAACGTCGAATTCTTCCAGAGCCCATATTTGCAGAGAGTTTCTCGCGGAATCGATATGAGATAAGCATGGTTTCAATAAAAGGGTTCTCTCTCGTCTTCTCTCCTTCCTGGCTGAGTCATCGGGTTGAGCTGATTGATTGTCTTTGAGCACTTTTAAAAGTCGCATACTTTCTTTAAGTCGACTACTTCCTTTAAGTCGACTACTTCCTTTAAGTCGAATACTTCCTTTACGTGGAATACTTCCTTTAAGTCGACTACTTCCTTTAATTCGACTACTTCCTTTAACTCAAATGCTTTGAAAGTAAAAGGCATCTAATTTTTAAGTTTATTCGATCTGCCAAACTGAATTTCATTCGATTCTTGCCATTTCTAAAATCATATAAACCCAATTCTAAACGTAGAGATATAAAAAAAATAAATGTCAAAGCAGCTGATGTCAAATTCGCTACCTCTTTAAGCAGATGATTCTAGAAATAAAGTCGACTCTTCATATAACGATCTGCTCGATATAAAGACTCATACTTACAGTCCCGACCAAGTGCTTAACAAAATACGAGAACTAGTCAAAGCGCGGGGAGCGCCAGGAGCGCCATATTTAGTGATTTACAGATTTTCCCCGCCACTTTTCACTCTCGACTAGAACTCCAGCAAGTGGCTACTTTGATGGATAGTCGCAGTGTAGATCACGATGAGCTTCCCACAATATTATGCGACGAAGATGCATTTATCTGATACGAATTCTGTTGAGTTTTCATTTCTTTGCCTTCTTTTATATTTTCTTTTTAAAAATGTTTTGGTGCAAAAAAAAATTTGGCTAATATTTTGCTTTCAATTAAACCCTTATTTTGTTGTTTATTAAAGTTGAATAAATGAACATTGAAAGCTGAAAATCTCGTGAATTATGCCAAAAAATTTGCAGATTGGATTGTTTAAAAAATTTTTAGGAAAAAAAAGTAGTAGCACGCCTAATAATAATAATAGCGCCACCTAGTTGTGGAATTCTCTCCTCAATGAAATTCGAAAGCTTTCATCTCTAGGCACGTTTAAACGCGCTATTTCTTAGCTAAAAGATACTTTAACCCGAAAAAGAAAAGATGAGGATTTGTGCCATTTGGCACCAATACTCATACCACTCATCTCCAACTCTTTCATTGGCCTTTGCTATGGGCAAAAAGTGACGAGCTGTCCCAGCAATGCTCAAGGATTCGATCTCTATGATACGTAATTGAATCAAAATAATTTAACAATAGTACCGTAATTCTTCTAAACAAACCTAGCTACTTATCCTCCAGGATCTTTCGTTCTTACGGTTACGCAACGCAACCCAACCTAGCAATAACTTGAGTGAGGTTTTCTTGAAACTTCCCAACCTAAAAATGCTTTCTTTATTCAAATGTTGACAAACAAAGAAAATAATAATGTAATGTTCAAAAAAAAACAAAGTAAAACGCTAAACAAAACTCAGTACTACGGGTAACTTTTCTCGGTGACTTTGCTAAGCAGCATTGGGCGTCGTGTTCGCTGTGGAAGTACAGACGCTGCGATCGACGCGTGCGTGCGGATCTAAAAAACAAGTGTACAAGTATGAATGCATTCCACCTGATAACAAAAATCCAAACAACATACCGTGCCTTCATGCTTCATTTCGGCCATAAGCGCCATTTTCTCCACGCACCGTCTCTTCACATCGTCGACGGGATCGAATTTGACGGTTGCTCCTTTCCTTTCCTTTGGTTTTGCCGGCACCGTTGGCCTCGTTGCACTCAGTGCCTGGGTGGGAGTGACGGCAAGCCTGGCGAAGCAGCTTGCCATATTGCTCAACTCTTGATCCACTACCTAAAAGAGGGAAAACTTACATAATACAGAAAAATGCATACCATTTGAACCGGCTTCTTCGTTTGATTCTTTTCCGCCTTTTTTGGCGTCTCTTTCGACTTCGATTCGGTCTTCTTTTGTGGCTGAGGTGACGTGTTCTTGGTACTTCCGATTCTTGTAAAATATCGTGGATTTAAGACTTTGGCGGCAACTGCGGGCATGACGGGCGTCTCCGGTCGTTGATTTTCTGGCTCCTTCTTAATTTGATTCGGCTTCTTAATCCTGTCGATCATTCTCTGAAAAAAAGGATAGTTTGAAAATAAGAGTTTGTGCAAACCAATCGAAACGGAGGGTCTTGCGCGTTGGCCTTTGGTGGCTCTGGAGTCTCCGGCATCTTGGCTTTTGGTGGTTCTTGTGCTTTGGCTTTTGGTGGTTCTTGTGCTTTGGCTTTTGCTGGTTCTGGAATCTCCAACATACTCGCTTTAGGTCCCGCCACTTCCACAGTGATCTTTTGCTTATGTTGACCGCGTTCCATGCATTTGAACTTGAGAAAGGCGTTGACCGTGCCTAAAAAATCTGAAGTTCTACCTCAATAGGAAAACTGTACTTGATCTTTGAGTTTGAAGAACTAGTGTTGGCTTCGGTTCTGGTGGAAGAGGAATCGCACTTATCAAGTCCATCGGAGCCGGTTCGAGAGGTATACTGGTTAACGATACACCCGTTTCAGCAATCATCTCATCACATTTATCCTCTTCTTCTTCTTCTGATTCATCACCGGATTCGAGGCTTGATTCATTAAGATCGTTTATCATTGCAAGCTAAATTTCAACAATATTCCTCAATATTTTTAAATGTTACCTGTAAATTACCAGCTTTCGCGTGGCTTTGGTCAACGTGCTTTGGCTTGATATTGTGCTTTTTCACGTAGGCCTCGCGTAAATGAATGGACTAAAACAGAAAAGATTTTACAACTTCAACTCAACTTGCTTACTCCATCTTTAACCATCGTTCTCGATGAGAAAGTCGTGGCGAATAGATCCGACCAATGTTTCGCGTAGAGTCTTTCTGGATTCACTTCAGCACCATAATGCCTTGAGTAGAAGATACCGACATCCGACAACTAAAATTGATGATAAAACAGAATAAATTAAATGCTCAAACTCACTGGAATTGGATTCGGATACATGTTGACAAGCTGCATAGTGAAATGCTCCATAAGTTCCGTCAAACGTGGCGCCATTGTAGCTCGAGGAGAGCCGACTTCAACTTTGTCCTTTTCTTGTGTACGGTCATTTCGAGTACGCTCGACAAAAGCTTTCGTCTTGATCAAGATCTCATCGGAACCGAGCACCTCGAAAACGATCTAAAATAGTTTATACGAGGAAATAATAAATTAAACTAACGTCATCTTTCATTGCTGCACGGACCGAACTCAGTTTGCCGGTGCCAAAATATTTCTCGAGTTCCTTTACATCAAAGTCGAATCCATGCCGTTCACGGTATCGTTGAGCAAATTTCGACAATCGACCAGCGCCTCCCATTGCGTTCAAGACCTCCATAATCTTTCTGGCACCCTCCGTTGCCGATCTTTCTACTACCACTGTTGTTTTCATTAGCGGAGGTTGGAGCGGAGGTTGGAGCAGAGATTGAAATAGAGATGGTGGGCAGTTCTAAAAGATGAGCAATTAAATCGTTTCAAATGTTAGAACCCAACTGATACTATTGTCTTACAAAGAGTAATTTAACAATTAAATAAACGAACAAAGTATCCAGCGTTGAAGGGCATTTGTGGTTTGAGCCAGTGTGCGAGAGGAGCAAGTGGTGCGGCTCTAAGTGTCGGGGGTTGGGTGTTGCGGCCCCGTTGGTTCGTTTTTGGTGATCCGCGTGTGATTCCTCGTCCTCGTAGGCAACTCTGTTGTCGCTCTTCGACCATCAAGCGTTCAAAAGTGAGTCGATTTTTTAGGGAACCATTTGTGAAGATGCTAGCCCCTCGTCCTCCTCCATGCGCCGCTCTAAAACAAAAGTTTAACACAACCTACCCCGAACTTTAGCCAACCTATTGTATCCACCGCGTCGATTACTCTTTTTCTTCTTCTTCTTTTGCCGCTGAATTTGAAATTGAAGAGCTTGCGATGCAGCGTTGTCGGACACTCTTGAAATGGAATAAATTTAAACTCGAAATCGATCGTACTTGGCTTTGTACGCTCGTCTTCCTTGCGAATCAATTGCTGGAAAGAGTTGGGGGTGGTCGTCGAGCAGCTTTTCCAAATGTTGATATCCAAATTTCTCGTGCGTCAAGCCACCATATTCTTCCCTAAACAAAAACTGAATTGATAAACGGCTAATTTCACTAGAAAAATGCTTAGTTCTAAACACAAAATCTGTTCTAGGTACTTTTTGGGTGAAACTCTTCAACGAACCCCTGCTTTTACTGTGATTTGAATAAATTAAGCAAACGATTACATCATTAAGCTACCAAGTAAAACACATCAACTAATAAAAAAGACTCACCTGTATTCTCGAAGGATCTTTCCTGATGTCGACGGTTCTTGAAAACTGGCGACAATGGCGTAGATGGTAAGCCGCGTCTTTCGCAGCTCCGCCTCGAGCGCTTCATTCATTAGATGAGAAAACCTTAAAATCTTTATAAATGAATGCAACAAGAAGACAATAACATAGGTAGGTAAAAGTTGCATATAGCAAACGATTAAATTGTCAAGTTTACGAAGTTAGGATTTATTCTGTAATGGCAGAAATAATTTTCAATCATATAAGAAAAGGAAAAAAATGCCACACAATGCAATGCAATTAAATTCAACACAAGCATTTTGCAGCAAACTAAACAAAACACACTAACTAATAAAAAACTCTTCTGTACCGAAATAGCTAAAAGATACATACATAATCAAAACATATAACCTCACTACGTTTTATAGTCTAGCTTACATTTTGGGTAAAAAACTCTTGCTTTTCGACTTTTTTCGATCCTACATTGCGAACACGACGAACTTGGGGTGTTGATGTTGCCACAGCTTTCGCAGATCCACGTTTGACGAACATCTTCAAGAGGTGAGTTTAGGTGAGTTTAGTTTCAACTAGCCACGTATTTCTGGCACGAAACTCACCTCAGCCGTAGGAGAATCAGGCGATAGCCTAGGAGCGGAGGTGCGGAGCCAAAGCCTAATTAAATATAGGAGCCTTGAATGTTGTTAAAAGTTTCGAAATGCCCTCCAACTACTATAGCCCCCTGGCTGCATGTTACAGAACATCAGCTAGATCTGCCTCAACCAAAAAGAAATAAGTCATAAGCATACTCTAAAAATATTACCAATCGATTTAGCGTGACCGAAAACCCTAGAAGAGGCACTTGCCAGAGGCATTTTGAAGGCTCCGCCCACCCACTGTCCCCCAACCAGTATAGCCCCACCAAGCTTCTCACTTCGTTAAATCTAGCCCAAGCTACACAAAAACAAGAAACAAACCTCTTATAGTGGCCAGAGGCTTGTGACGATATTGCGAAATAACGATGAAGCGTTCTTCTTGACAAAATTCTTGACCTCGTCGAAGGTTATCTTTTGTGATTGTTGTCGTTTTCCTTCACTTGCGTTGTATTCGGCTCTTAATTGTTGTTTATGCTTGTTTCCTTCTGTTCGACAGGCATCAACCAGACGTACGGCCAACTCGTTGAATCGGCCATATCTGAAATGAAAAAGGATTGTTTTAGGTGGAAAGGAAACTGTAAAACACGAATTCAAATGAAACAAGTGTAACTTTGTAAATTCTTCACCAAAAGCGCTAAAACTACCTACCGTAAATACTGTAATAGTACCCCACCCCCCTCGTACAGTCGCGTAGTCGCAAAGTCGCGTAGTCGTTTTTAGTATTTCATTTTTTGCAAAGCACCCGTACTTTCAAAAAATGCGTCTTTGGTATCGAAAAATAGCCCTGAATTTCAGCTATTTTTCGATACCTAAACGCACATTGTAGCATAAACAAGTGTCGAGAAAAACGCGTCCAAAGCTAGACTACGCAACGCTCCGCACCGTCATTATGGGGGTGGGGTACTATTCCAGTGGTACTATTACGCAACAAGGTCATTTGCGCAACAGGATCTTTTGCGCAATTCGCCATAACTTTCTTCTAAGTGATCCAATCTTTATGATTTTGGTGTTATTTTGTTGCACGTCTTGAGATCTACAAAATCATACCAAAATCATAAAGATTGGATCACTTAGAAGAAAGCTATGGCGAGTTGCGCAAATAAAATGGCGGAAGTTAGCCTATCCCAAAATGAGCCGTCTAAAAACGCTTTATATATGCGCAATAAAAAGGGCTACGGTAGCGCGACAGACAGAAACGTCTAGAACGTCTAAACAACGTCTAGAACGTCTAAACAACGTCTAGAACGTCTAAACAACGTCTAGAACGTCTAAACAACGTCTAGAACGTCTAAACAACGTCTAGAACGTCTAAACAACGTCTAGAACGTCTAAACAACGTCTAGAACGTCTAAACAACGTCTAGAACGTCTAAACAACGTCTAGAACGTCTAAACAACGTCTAGAACGTCTAAACAACGTCTAGAACGTCTAAACAACGTCTAGAACGTCTAAACAACGTCTAGAACGTCTAAACAACGTCTAGAACGTCTAAACAACGTCTAGAACGTCTAAACAACGTCTAGAACGTCTAAACAACGTCTAGAACGTCTAAACAACGTCTAGAACGTCTAAACAACGTCTAGAACGTCTAAACAACGTCTAGAACGTCTAAACAACGTCTAGAACGTCTAAACAACGTCTAGAACGTCTAAACAACGTCTAGAACGTCTAAACAACGTCTAGAACGTCTAAACGTCTCTAAAAACGTGTTTCGGAAAAGAATGACGCTAAAATACTCAACGTGTTCGATGGCTTCGTTAAAAACTTCTAAAACTGTTACCTTTAGCTTTGTCAGGCTAAGTTACCCCAAAGACCCCATCAATCTGGCCCCTTAGATCTATCATCGCCACTATTTTTTCTCTTACATGTTTCGTTTTGCAAAACTATCTCCTAATTGTTTACTTTAGATAATGGGTCGCGGAAAGGGCAGCTCGGTGCTTCCGATCACGACGAACGTCCGTGCTGACATCGAGATGCTGAAGAAAATGTTCGAACGGACGAAGAGAACGCGATTCGACGACTTTTTCGCCGAATTCGAGGCGCTCGAGTTCCACAAGGTCTACGCAAATCACCCGAAACCGGAGGTGCTCATCGAGTTCACCGAAAATTTGTACCAAATCGCACTTAGCTACACGAATCTGGATTACACCCACCTGAATGCCCAAAAGCGAAGGGAGCCGATGGAGCGGCCGGTTGGTGATCGAATCTTCGGATGCTATTTGTTGTTCGCACTGTTCCACGCGCAGCCTCCCAAGTGCAAGGTGCCAATTCATGTCACAAATCAGCGACTAAAGCAAATGAGAACTCTTGGCGAGGCGTGTCTACAGAAAGGAAACCCGGACGTGCAGTATTCGATTGAGGAACTAAAGAAGATTGATGCTTTCAAGTTGATTCCATACGATAAGATCAAATGGGATCCGGAAACAGTGACCGATTTCGAGCACGAATATGAACGATTGGACGACCCGGATCATTACGCAGTGAACCCTTTCGAAAATTTGGCGCAAATCGTGGAAGGAGAAAGCTACAAAGAGGTGATCAAGATGTTAGAAGATTCGAGTTTGGGCGAACGATTCAGGTATCTTTTGAGTAAATTCAATTATTAAGCTTTTGAGGAAGGTCTAACACAAGTTTGTGGCTGGCTTAGACTTTGCATTAACTTCAAAGTTCAAGCAACGCATCATTGCACAAAGTTTAAATTAACGGTTGAAAAGTTGAAGGAAATGCTAGACTCTCTCACTCATTCAACTCACAAACGTCTAGATTGTCAGCTTTCGTCAAGTTAGTTTAGAAACTTTGTGAAAACCTGAGCTTATCTTTGCCAATGATCTGAATGATCACTGAATAACGTTTTCTTTTTCAGAAACTATCTCCTCGCGATGAAATTTTTGGCCGAGACGACACTTTTTAGCACAGACGCTACATCAAATGCTTTTGACGACACGCTTCTCATCAAGAAATGTGTAGCCAAACGGGCAAGCAAGAAGCGACAGCGGCAAAAATAATGATCACCTTGAAAGATTAAAGATTACTTTTGTCTGTTTAGTCAATTCTTTTGTTTTTATTGTTTAAAATTCTAAGAACTCTTGTTAACTACTAAATTTCAAGATAACCTTCCCTTTCTTGTTCGATGTAAAGAGTAATTGTCTTAAGTTTATCATGTTTTTGTTGTTGTTAGGTAATAAATTGTTGAATTCAGATCGACTTCCTCAAAAGCGATTGTCGATGATCAGCTAATCTTGTTTAAACACAAAAAATTTAAATACTATACCAAAAAATTGCATGGACAAATTTAATTACTTTAAATTTACATCTTATCATTCCTGCTGTTGAAAAAAAACCAAATTTTTGATCATTTTCTTATCCGCAGCTCTTGAATTGGTGAGAAAAGGTGCGTTTCCTTTGTTTAGCTCTTGTTCAACTACCCAAGCCTGGATTTTCCCTTCAAACTTTATGTTTTTTTTCAGATCATGGGCGATTCGTCGAGTCTACCGGGAAATGAACTACTTCAAGCGTAAGGTTTTTGTGTTAAATCAGTAAAATTTTGTTTCTTTTAGTGAAAAAGATGAAAAAGACGATGGCCCTTTCGAGAATCGACGAGTCAACTCTTCGGAAATCGCACCAAATGCGGAGGTAGAGCTTTTACTGGACAAAGATTTTGTCAAACTTGATAATTTGGTGAAAAACGAGCTGGGAATTAGTCTAAACTGACAAGCTGAAAGCTTTGTGAGAAAGCTTCCCAACTACCTTTGAGCCAAACTTTCAATATGTGTTGACTAAGCTTTTATTAGGGTGGTAGGAATGAAACTAGTGCTCACAGATCTTTTCAAAAATAAAAAGATTGCAAGCCGCAGTGAATAAGTGTTGTATACTATTAGAAAGCCTTGAATCTCCTCTACAAAATAGTGGAAAAAGATTTTTGAATTGATTATTTGGGATTTGAGTGACTTTTAAGTTGAAAGCTCAAAAATGACACATTTTCTGGAAAATGTGTTTCTAGTAATAGCCATGCCCGGATTTTCTGTTAGAAAATACTGCCAATTAAAGTTATTTGAAAATAAAATAAAAGAGAAGAACTCGTTTTGTTCGTTTTCTAGAGCTAAATCTTTGTTTTTTGGAATGATTGGGCTAAAAACGGCTACTTTTGACTTTGGATTCTCATATCTCGATAGAATCTAAGCTGGTCTTTTGAGTTTTGATATAAATATTAAGTAGTGTATATCTTTAATATACTGGAAAAATTTCAAGTGAAAAGATCCGTGGAAGTGTTAGTTGCCAGCAGGCGCAGGTACCTAGGTTGAGACTCGACCTGCGGTTACCGTCGCTTTAACACCCAAGTCCCCAATAATTAATCCAATTCAACATTTTTTTTGCACTATTTTCTAGAGGAGATTTAGGGCTTTCTAATAGTATACAACACTTATTGGCTGAGGCTTACCATTTTTTTATTTTTGGAAATTTTATGGAAATGGAAAGATATGTGAGCACTAGTTTTATTCCTACCACCCTAATATCTTCAGGGTCCATTTGGGGTGCGCCTTAGCGACGATATGCTCAACGTGTTCTGCGATCGTGTGCAACTCGCCGCCCCGGACCGTATTAACGGCTTTTTTGCGATTCAATCGATTTTGGTAAGTGGCAGCACTGTTTGGGGATATTGAAGTATACGTTAATTGAATGACTTTTCAATTTGTGAAAATTTTGAAGCAAATTGATTGTCACAAAGTCGTTTACTACAGTTTATTACTAATTAAAAGCTATTCAGCAACTTCAGAGCACTTTAGTGCGACCCGGCCTCGCTTCGATCGCAAATTCAGCCGCGTCAAGAAGTCATCCAAATTTTCTTCGACCAGGAACAGGAGCACTACATTACGGTAAGAATGCCTTTTTCTTCTCACGCTCAGGCTCAACTCCTTTTAGGCTCATCTCTTTTACGTGAATAAGGTGCCCACTCTACGAATTTACGACCCATTACTGCATGCGAAAAATGTTAAAAATCGGGATTTGAAAGATATGGTATTTTTTTGAGTATGATTTACAGCTATTTCCTTTTAGATGAGCCCATCGATGATTCGACAAATTTTGGACATCTTCGGACATATCGTTTTCCGTGTTGCTCAGCCAGGCGCGGTCCCTGTTGAATATGTGCACGACATTGACCCTCAGGTTGATTTTGGCAGTCACTCGGTTTTAACCAAGGATTCAAGCTGTTAAGGTAAATAAAATTTAAAATTTTCAGACAGATGGATGGAGTTGTGGATATCGAGCAATCGGCGTTGTGATGGATTTGTTGAGAGAAAGACCTCCCATGGAGTAAGTACGATTTTTTCTGCTCATTGCTCATTTGTTTAGCTCAAAATACGATGTTCGCTCACTCTATGACTTGTACATTTGGGCGAATCGCGATGGATCGCACCCGTGGCACGAATTTATGAAGTTCCCGTGTCGTAGGTTGGGTTTTGGTATATTGGATAAGGATTTAACCGGGCTGAGCTTTTCAAATAGCATCCCCTAAGTCTAAATGTTTCATTTTCCAGCTATCGCCTCCGGAATTATGTTAGAAACGGCATTGTTGTGTTCACCGAGGAATTCTACAAGGAGAAAGTCGACAAAGCGGTCGCCGATGAGGTGAGATAGCAAAATCAGCCTAATAAGCAAGTTTCCCATTTTAGAAAGCCACCGAATCGCTTGTCGCTCAATCTGAAGAACCAACGGCTCAACCGGCCTGCAAAGAGGAGCCTCCTGCGGCTCACAAAGAAAATCCTGTGGTATTGTTTGGCGGGTTTTAAACACGAATAGGCTTGTTTGATGGTAAACAAAGTGATTCGTTATACAAAAAGCCAGCCGGGAGGCTACGAATGAACAAAATGCGCCATTCGAACGTTATAACTAATTGCAGTTTTTTAGATCGACGCTGTTCCTTCAAAGTCTGGTGATTTAACAAACGGAGTTCGGGAAATGCGACAAAGTTGTTGTGATTAGTGGGTAGATTGATAGTTTCTGGAAGTTTATCTTGCCTTTAGTCATCTACAATCAAACGCTTCAAAAAATGACAAGAGCAAAGACGCAAAGAGCACCACCCACCATCGAGCAATGGTATATTTGTTCAATTTGCTTTTAAATTTGCTCGACTTTAGGCTGAAAGCAGCGGGATTGAGACTCCGAGGGTGCCTGATTCGTTTTTAAAGTACGTTTTTGACTATGATTTTATAAAAGTTTGTCTTTTAGGAAACCAGTCCCTCTACTCCCAAGATTGGCCGTCCATTCTTCATCGTCGCAACCCGAGCTCTTGCAACCGCTTAATCGATGGTCTTACATGCGCACGTGGAGTGAACGACAAAGTGATGAGGAAAAAAAGAGAAGTGGAAGTGCCGGAGAATGCCCAACCAATTCTCGACTGTCAGCCATTGAAACGACGCGTTCAATCACCCGTTCGACAAACGATGTCTTCAGCTCGGAGCCCATTGAATGCAATGTGGGTTTTCTTGCAATTCAGTATTTGGATCAGCTTTAACTAGAAATATCAACTGTTAAACTCCATACGAATTAATTCGTTTAGGTGCCCGCCTCATTTGACTCTCTTCCTTCGATGCCCGTGCCGAATCTTCACGCTTGCCGCTCCTCCACGCGCCACGAGGGCTCCTCATTTCACACCGACTCGAATCATTCTCTTCATGGCGTCGAAAAGAGCCAACAACAAAAGCCATCCGCAAACAAGCTTCATCAAGTCACGTTTCGACCCCATCTGGGATACGGAGCCGATGAGCAACACTCGAGCTTTGAGGCCGATGTCAGCAGCTTTGGAAGTTCCAACAAGGTGGGGGATTTAGTCATGGAATAAATGTTGCCGGTAAAATTGTCGCTAAAGAGAAGCTCAACGTCAGAAGGTAGACCCACTTAAAGTCTTGCGTAGTCCTTAACTGATAATTTAAACCGGGCTAACGTTTAAGTTGCAAAGAATGTCATGTCTAATAATTTTCTACCTTCAGAGCGTAAAATTCGATGTGCAATGGGAGTCGGAGCCTGCTGCCATAATCGTTCCTTCCTTCATCCCGGTCGAGATCAAAAAGCCAATCAATTGCACAACTAAGTCCAAGGACGTTCGTCTGGAAATGGGCTCCGTGGTGGCCACGCAAATCACCCACAAGAACAATAACAACAACAATTCGCCGCTTTCATCACCCTCATCATCAATGCTGGTTAGTGCTTTGGGAGTTTGTACTTAAAAACGAAGTTCTTCCAGAAACCTTCTTAAAAAGTGTAAATTAAGAACTCGGAACCTCGGTGCTGTTGTTGAAATGTGGTCGCTCACAAGAGAAATGCTTCCTCCGAACGTGTTCACCTCTTCACAACACGTCCAGCAAGATTTCCCGATGAGAAATATGTATTAACATTGATCTCTTTATCTGCTGTTTTGATTTGTTTGAGTTTACCCTTTGCACCACTGCTCTTTTTTTTAAAACTATATTCCTCTTTACACATGCACTGTTTTATTGTGATTTATGGTTTTCATTGGGAGTCTATTATTGTGTGTATTGCGGCTATGCTCGCTTTTTCGGAGGGTTGTTTGTTGATAAAGTTATAAAATAATCATACGATTTAACGAGAAAACAATGAGAACAAGATTTACATGAGGCAGAACAGACCCGTAGTTCATAGCATATCCAAAATTGTGTTTAGAGGGTAAGATCAGTAGGCGGTGTGGCTAGGGCCAATTTGTGCAGTAACGTGGAGCGGCGATTTCTAGAAATCTCAATAGACTGTCATTATGACAGGTGAGCTCACCTAGGGTTGGCCGCATAAACGGTATGAAAATCTCGCATGTTAACACGAATGGCACGCGAGCGAAGCGTTTGATGTGCTGCTGCGCCGGCGCCGGCCGCGTCCCATCTAAAACAACAATATTTAGATTGTTACAAAACCATATTTTAAGGCTATTTTAAAGGCTATTTTAAAGGCTATTGATTCAAGCTCTAGTTATAAAGTTGAACAAACGATGCAAATTTAAGCTTATGCAGAATAGGAACTACTTGATATCGTATCACCCTAGAAGTTTACCGGTTAGTCTTTGCTTTTGATCCGCTTAAAGCCGCAATGGCTGCCGCGTTGGCCTCGCGAGTTCGTTTCGCCTCAGCGTCGGCTCGTTGCATCTCCTTTGCACGTTCAATCGAGTCCTTCGTTGAACTACCTTAATTCAAAAGTGTTTGGGGACCAAAATAATGCTCAATACCTTTCCCTTTGCCCATCCGAAGCGCTTCCTCTTTCTCGCGGTTCAAGCGCTGTTCTTCAAGTTGTCTAAAAGTGATTATTATTTCTCTCAAAAAGGTTTTTTAACCTATCCATAGCCTCCAGCCATTTAATTTGCGATTTCGCATCGTCGAGCACAAAATAGTCGGGATTAGCTCTAAAATTGATGTGTACATGATTAACGAGTAAAATACTTACTTTGGATTAGGATCTAGACGATGCTGAGCCATCACACCAAGTTCGCCAATGAGCTCTCGTATTCGGTACTCGGTTGCATCCGAAATCAGCGTCACCAATTCTTCATCAACGTAGCAAGCCTAAATAAAGTACAATATCAAAGTAATGAAAGCCCCCAAAACGCACCATATTCATCCTCTGTGTGATTTTCGTCATAATTTGTGCCGGCTGGATGAGTGTATTCGCAAATGGACTCTCCTTGTACTGGCGAACGGTTTCCTGGAGTTGAGTTGGGTAAATGAACCGCTGCCAAAACAAACCTCTTCGCTTGGCGGTGCTTGTACTATTTGCTGTACATTTGGCTCTTCCTAAAGAGAATCATTTTTGGGGCAAATTCGCTAAAAGTTACCTTATGTGTGACTTGTTGAATTTCTCTTCGCAGCTCGCTTACATTTGGCAAATCATCCATCTCCATAATTTCGTTTTTCTGAAAATGCAAAAGTAAATTTTGAACTAGATTTGTTTGAGTTAATTTTATGGCTAAAATACCTACCAAACCCATCAAAGGCCCACTTGCTCCTGAGCGAATCGATACAGGAGTCTAAAAAAAATTAATATCATTAAAAACCCGGTATTCCTAACCTGATTTTGCTGCATTTGTTGCTGATTTCCCATCGGTAAGCGATTTTGTGGTTGTTGTTGTGATGTTGCCGGGGTTCCCATCATTTGTTGTATCGTAAAATTCTTCGCGAAATCGATCACCGCTTGATCGCCGTTTTGTTCAACTTGATAAATGATCTAAAGAAATTTGGATTGCTAAATTTGCAAACTATAAGCTAAGGAGCAAAATGGACTTATTACACAACTAAATTTTTAATGAAGTAGGACTAATCGCACTCTAATCCACAAAATTTTTGATGGTTTCTCTCAATTTGTATTCACCTCTTTGTTTTCGATAGCTTTTCGTAAAACGGGCAGCGTCTCGTGAAGAAATGCCAATAAATGCGATTGAGCCTTTGAGCCGAGCACTTCTTCCAAGCGATTAGTGAATTCCTCGGGTTCGATCGTGCCATGGATCACATCCTAAAAGATGTTGATAAACAAAAGTTGTGTTTAATGCATAAATTTTGCACCACTTACTGTTACATAGCCAATCAATCTCGGCCGCACGTTATCGGGCTTGTTGCGCAAAAGTGTTTGAAACAACTTGACACTCTTCGTCACTGGGTCAACTAGAGTAATTTTAAAGGGCCAATAGAAATATCAAATACCATGTTGCTGTGGTGGTTGTTGAGGTGCGCCCATCGGTTGTCCTTGCTGATGTGGTGGTTGTTGAGGAACCCCCATCGGTTGTCCTTGATGCTGTGGTGATTGTTGAGGAACACCCATCGGTTGTCCTTGATGCTGTGGTTGTTGGGGTGCACCAATTGGTCGTGCTTGTTGATGAAATTGTTGAGGCGGCTGGTGCATGTTTGGCTGAGATCCGATTTGCATTTGCTGAGGTCCAGCGCCATTGTCCTGCCTGATCATCGGCGAACTCACGCCCTAAAATGAACAATTGGTCAAAAAATTTAGTGAAAAACACAGATCTAGGTAGCTTAACTATAGCTTCAAGCATTTAGATGATTCACCGAGCCTACAAGTCAGCCTTGACTTTGAAAGCTTTAAGCAACAAGCACTTTAACGTGCTAGCTCACTTTAGCTCCATTATTAGCTTCAGCTTCATGTTGTTTTGGTTCATTTTAAAGCTTTGAAAAGCCACGAACAAGTATTGCCAAGGTTTTTAATCATACAGCGCTTCGGAGATCTTACTATCTATGCGCAAATATTGTATTTACAAGAGCAATTAACACAATTCCAAGGGTATCAACCTTGTAGCGCCTCAAAAAGCCTTACATGCATTGGTGGTTGATGTTGTGGATGTGGTTCCCTGAGTGGCGGTGGTTGAATGGACGCATAGTCGATATTTTGCGGAGTTGTCGAGGCCATGGCGTGTTGGATGGCCGACGGCATGGACGTCGGGGGGCGCATCTCGCCGAGTCCCCTTCCTGCTGGAACGACGCGAAAGCGAGGTGGACCCGAGGCGGGTGGGTCGCTCATCTAAAGTTGGATATTGGTAAATTTTTAAAGTCAAAGAGAGTTCAACAAGTTAAAAGACCCAATAAAAGCCCATGGAACGAAGAGAAACCACATGATAAACTTTATACTCAAAAAAATCAGCCTCTCTGTTAAAAGATACAGGGTTGAGCAAAATTATCCTGATAACTTTTTGGAAAAGTAGTTGTCGGACGTTTAATTTATTTTAAAGTGTCAAGTGTTATATAGAGAATTGTAGAGCTTAATCTTGGTAAGTTTATCTACTAAAAACTTCCCAATCGGATTTATGCAACTCATTTAACAAGTCCTTGAATGAGCACTAATTCGGTGCGCTGCCATTTTTGAAGATTTTCTACATAAAATGGGGGTGGGACAAATGCGACCTTTTTTTCGCTGGAAAAGGCTTTAGGAAAGGCCGCAGAGCTTCAAAAATGTTTTCATATAAGGGAATCGTATGCGTAGCTTCCGAATTTCCACTAATTAGATCTTGGTGACACGTCAAATTTGGGCTATAAAGCAAAAATGATGCAACTTAACGCTTTTCGCAGTTTTTGCCTTTTAACCCTTCAAAAATGGCAGCGCGCCGGATACTTTTCCAAAAAGTTCTTCGGGTAATTTCGCTCAACCCTGTAACAGCCTAGTGCTCATTCAAGGACTTGTTAAATGAGTTGCATAAATCCTATTGGGAAGTTTTTAGTAAATAAATTTAGCCAAGATTAAGCTCTACAATTCTCTATATAAGATTTGACACTTTGAAATAAATTAAGCGTACGACAACTACTTATCCAAAAAGTTGTCCGGATAATTTTGAGACACCCTGGGCTAATTTCCACCATTTTATTTGCGCAACTGGATCTTTTGCGCAACTCGCCATAACTTTCTTCTAAGTGGGTCAATCTTTATGATTTTAGTGTCATTTTGTAGATCTCAATAAGTGCAACAAAATAACACCAAAATCATAAAGATTTGATCACTTAGAAGAAAGTTATGGCAAGTTGCGCAAATAAAATGGCGGAAGTTGGCCTAACTCCAACGCTGTATTCAAGAAAGTTTACCAACGACTTTATACTCAAAAAAATTTTTGAGCTTCGCTGATAAAAGATATTCAGGCAAGTTTATCAAATGGAGAACAAACGAGCAAAGACTTTTATATTGAAAAAATTTTCAGTCCCACTGAAAAAAAGATATTCAGTTAATAAATGAAATTTTGAAATAGCGGAAATAAAAGTAGAGCCAATAAACGCGAAAATTCATTTTTCTTCAAGCGCTCGAGCAAAGCTTTTCAATTTTTTTTCAAGTTTTCAACTTTTGCAGGGAGTGGGACAAATGCGACCTTTTTTTGCGCAAACCCGGACATTTGCCGACCTTGCCCATTAGCGCACCTTTTTTCGCGCCTTAAAAAAGCTCTAAAAAGCTAAAAAGCTAATATTAACCAATTTCTATTCCAAAAGTTATTTTTCTAGGTAATTTTAGGGCGTAGAATCGAAATTTTGGCATATCAGAGCGTGTGGAACCAATTTGAAAGACAAAACGGCTAGATCAAATTACAGAAAATTGTTGATTTTTCTCTTTGTATAACTCCGTCCGTTCGCTTCCATATGTCAAAATTTGAATTCGACACCCTCAAATTACCTAGAAAAACAACTTTTAGAATAGAAATTGGTTAATATTAACTTTTTGGAGCTTTTTTAAAACGCGAAAAAAGGTGCACTAATGGGCAAGGTGCGGAAAAAAAGGTGCGCAAATGTCCGGGTGCGCAAAAAAAAGGTCGCA